AAAATTGTTGTTAATAGAGAATCATTTTCATTCTGAAAGTTTTTTTTTTAACCAGAGCTCCACGTGTGCTTTAAAAAATCAATGTATGTCTGAAATATTCAAGAAGCTTTTTTCTTAAAATTTTTGTTTGATTAAAGATTGGTGATTTGATGTACTTTTAATTTTTCCTTCTCTAAGGATAGAATAAGCAAAAGAAAGAGAATACGAAAGAGAAGAACAGAATAAAGAAATAAAATAGAGAGAAAGGAAGGAAAAAGGAGAGAAATAAAGAAAAGAAACGAGAAAACAGAGAGAGAGAGAGAGAGAGAGAGAGAGAGAGAGGGGGGAGGGGGGAAAGAGAGTTGATTATTAAAGCGAGATAAAAGGATAGAAAGAAGAACGAAAAGAGAGAAAGAAACAGAGTAGAGAGCGAGGAAAAGAAAAAGGCGAGAGAGAGAGAGAGAGAGAGAGAGAGGAGAGAGAGAGTAAAAAAAACAGCCACTTACTTTTGGGACTGAGTGGCATTACACCATATTCCTTTTCAAAATCCATCCGGCAGAAGAGTTGTCCATCCCGTATGACAAACTGGTCGCCTTTCTGAAGTTGGTGCCCGCACGCGACACAAGCGAAACATCGCAAATGGTAGACATTGCCCAGTGCACGCATCACTAACTCATTTGCAGGAATCGGTTGCATACAGCTGCTGCATTTCGTCCCAAATAACCTGTACACACATCAGTAAAGTTAGATCAGTTAAAAACCGATTACTTCAAAATGCACATACTTATTATTATTATTATTATTATTATTATTATTATTATTTGTAGAGTACCCATAAAAAATTTGGGAGTATTTACTTATGGATCAGCTCTTAGGGTCAGAGTATCTATCTAGAAACAAAGTGTCGCTCTTCAGTCTTCTGTCTATGTTCATTTTAGTAACTGTGCGCCCTGTAAAAATGTCTTCCTCACACACACACACATATGTATAACTTGTATAATATATTTTGTATATGATATAACACAACTCTTTCTCAAATCTTCATTATTATTATCATCATCATTATATTTCGATTTCTGCTATGGTTACACTACCTACCAAATCTTCAGGAAGACCTAAGGCAGGTGCTGATATGTTGTTATGGCTACATTTCATGATTTGTTTTTCTAACATCACTAACGTTACATGGACAAAGTTCTTCTTAGTGTGTGCGTCGTACTTAGCAAGACAAAACTTGAATTTCCAGGGATTTATTATTATTATTATTATTATTATTAAATGTAATTCTCAAATCTTTAAAACCTTTCTCAGTATTCTTGAAGACATCAACAACAGTGTGGACTGGACAGTTTCAATTCTTTTTCAAGTTTCTAATTCATTCAATCATTATTAGAGTGTTTTTCACACAACTCCAAGTTCTCCAACTATCATGGACATAACCTTAATCTAAAATGAATACGCCAGTCACTTCCATATTTCACAATATTTCAGTTCTTTGGAAAAACCCAAGTATTTTTCTTGCTTTTTTAATTTTGGTTTGGGATCTGTTGACAGATTACTTTTTCTTTATTTACGATGAATTAAATTTGGCCCGGATTGGACGATTCATTGAAATTTTGAAATTATATAATATATATATATATATATATATATATATATATATATATATATATATATATTAGGATATTACATCGAAAACATGTCAAAATTGCTACACAATTGCAGTTGTTTCGATGCGTATCAATGCAACTCATCAGTCGATGTAATATCCTAAAATAAATAATATTGCTCTACTTTGTATTGAGCCCTCTTTTAAATTAAATGTTACGAACGTTGGAATTGTACTCTATTTGTTCTCGTCCTACCTGTATATATATATATATATATATATATATATATATATATATATATATATAGGGGGTAAGTTCAAAATTATTATATCTGTGTTATGAGTGCGGATAATTTTTGACTTTCCTCGTCTATATGAATCCCAACTTCACTTCGTGAACCTGGTCTTATTGTGCGCATGAGTGATGAAAGAAAATGAAAATCCTCAGGTACAGCTAACTAACTATATGACAGATCTCGGAAAGTAGAAAGATCTAATTTGAGGTACAAGGATAAACTAAAGCAAAACCTTCCATTGACGTCCCTCAGTCGGCCTTTTAGAAGAGATTTTTGATCATGTCAAGTGTAGGAGTGTTACTTTAAAAATAAGACATGGCCAGCGGAGATGCCATATATTAAGGAGAGTAAACAGAAAAACCAAAAAAAATTCTTTTATAATGGCTTATGACGGCCGAAAATACTCAGACATTGAACAATTTATGAATGAAACCTCTTAAATAAATATAATTAGTCTTTAAGCAAATTATATATATATATATTTATATATATATATATATATATATATATATATATATATATATATATATATATATATATATATATAATTTACAGATAGAGTATATCTGTAAAACTGTAAAAGGACAAGATGAATAAATACAAAAGGAAAACTTATCTTCGTCCGTTGAGGACTTTATCAAGGCAAATGATATACCTTGATAAAGTCCCTCAGCGTACAAAATGCGTCGACTAGGATAAGTTTTCCTTTTGTCGTTATTCACAAAACACACACACACACACACACACACACACACACACACACACACATATATATATATATATATATATATATATATATATATATATATATATATATATAAATATAAATATATGAATATATTTATTGTTTATACTTTTTTTTTATATAGATATGCTCTATTTATGATAAATAGTATTAACAGCATTTACCGGCCTGAATATCCGAGAAATTTCATAGAAAATATGTGTCCACCAACAGCAATCGAACCTGAATTCTACACGGAACCATCATATAGACTGACGTGCTATACCATTTGGCTGCAGAGGAAGCATCTGGTTAGTAAGGTCGAATTGCTGCTTTTAAACTACAAATTTCCCATGATTTTTCTCGAACGCTCATATCTTCTCGAAGCAAATAACGTATAAACAATAAATATATTGAAATAATTGTCGGACTTAGTCCATTTCATGATATATGACGTCATTTATGAACGTTCGAGAAGAATCATAGGAAATTTGTTGTTTAAAAGCAGTAATTCGACATTTTTAACCAGACGTTTTACTTGTATTACAACAGCATCCAGATTCTTAATTCTTTCTCTGTATTAAATCCCATATAATATTTTGGTGTTATCTGTTAACATTTGTCTTATGTTAATATTATTTTGGTTATTTACAACATGTTGATCTATATGTGTGTGAAATGCAAATTTTGACAAATGAAAAGTCAACCTACGAGAGAGTGTGGTGAATGTGTGACCAATATAAAAAAAATTATGTTTGTTGATTGTTAGCGTTGGATACGAGATTTCATTATACTTCCATATAATTAAATGTGGCATGTTTCAACGAGTAGAATAACGGTTTTCAGGATTTATTGAATGCAAGATTGTGTCTCTAGTATAATTGCAGTCGATGTTTCACAGTTTCGGTTTTGAGGGATGCATTAAACCTATTCAACAGTAAATTAATTGCCTTCGAGTTGAAGTATTTATTTCTATTTTTTGGTTTTTCTTTCAGCAATCGTAGAGGAAAACAAAAACAAGAGAGAGATCCTCGTTTTTGGAAAAATGTAAACATTGGTTGAAAAAAAATACTGAAAATACTAAAAACTTGAAAAAAAAAAAAATTTCCTAACTTGCCAAGGTGTAGATAAGGAAAGTTTAAATAAGTTAAAAATAATATAAAATAAAATTACAATTACAATGAAATAAAATGAACATAACGGTGAAAGAAAAAATAGTCCCGAAAATTCGAGAGAAATAATTTCCTAACTTATCAAAGGGTACAGAGTAAAAAACTGAAGAAATCTGAAGCGTTTTTTTTTTTTTTTTTTTTTTAAAAAAAGAAAGAAAAAGAAAATGGAAAAAATTCCTTATTGGAGAAGAATTATTTTCTATCCTCCAACCTCTCCCTCTCACAGGTGGGATGTGGCGAGTCTCTCACTGTTCTGTTGCTACTGCCGTGGAAAGTGCTCGGACGAACTACATTCCTTGGTTCTGCCAGGTCTCACCACTTATATAGTTGCAAACCATCCACATTCCTTCCGTATTCCATAGGCGAGAAGTAAGTTCCACTGGGACATCTCCTCCCCGTGAACTACTGCACTGTGGAACCGACACCCAAGAGGATGTTTCCCGATCACTACAATCTTAACCTGTTCAAGTCTAGACTTAACCGCTGACTTCCACTCCTATTCATATAAACTACCCTTTAACATAACCCTCTACCTCGAGTAGCCCCCAGGCCTTGGACAGAGTGAACCTTACTGTAAATAAAGAAAAGCAAAAAGACAAAGGTAAAAGAAAAGAAGAGAGCTGAAAGAGAAAAATGTTGGACAAACTGAACGTGGAAATTAAAGTATAAACGTTAGAAAGAAGCGTTTGTACAATTGCCGTAATGCTGATACTTATTCAATTAAGCTGTTTATGGAAAGAAAAGGCGAAAGTGACAAAGTAGTTATTGGTTGTGTTTATGCTTGTGCTTTTGGGATGAAATATCAACCATAGAAAAACAAAATGAGTCTCTTTGAAAAGAGGCCGCAAGAAATGGAGGCGACTATTTTCCGTCACTCACAGTTGTCCCTCCTTTCATTGCCGACCTGTGACGATCCATTCTTTGGAGATTTATTTTGTGTAGTCATTGCTGCGGCTGGGATGTGTCGAATCTATTTGGTGGTGAAATATGAAGCGAAAATAGAAATAAAAAAACAGTAGTTTGAAAGAAGAAGACGAAGAATAAGAAGAAAAAAAAAGTAACAGAAAGCTGATTCTTCTGTTGTGAGAGAAAGGAAAAATAAAAAAGAAAAAAAAAAAAAAAAAAGAAGACCAGTAGGAAATGAAAAGCGGGAATAAAGGTTCACAGGTCTGAGACAAGAAAATAAGAGAAAGGGACATTATTCTTCTCTGCTGCTACTATTAATAATAATAGAAATAGAAAGAAGGAGTTTTATGGTGCAGGAAGTGGATGGTAATCAGGGAACGGGTGAGGAAGAGAGAGATGGGAGATAATAATGGCGAGAAGGGGGAAATGGTTAAGGTAAGCCTAGAGAAAGCAATGTGTTCAAACTCAGGAGAGATTCTTTGATTTCTATTTCCAAAAACATCAGAGAAAATAAATAAATAAATAAAAAAAGAATAAAAAAGAAAATAGGCCAATAGAATTCAAACAATCGCCTAGTTGATCAAAAAGTGTGAATAGTAGTCACGTCATGGTTCACTAACCGTTATGCCTAAGGGTTAACCGCAATCCTCATGACTAATTTAATCGAAATGACCTCAGAACTTTTTTTTGTGATACCCACTTTTGTTTCTGATATTGTAATAGAAGGATTTTGAGATTATTGTTGTGGCTTTTAGTACTAACAATTTCATAGTACGTCTTTGTTGGAATACCACAATAAGAAGTTTTAATCAATAGTAACTATTTTTTGACTGCCTATAAGGTTTGGGTAATTCTTGGACGTTCATAAGAGAAAGTTTGCTGTAATAGATACTGGCTCGGAATTTTTAATCTGAGAGTTCGAATTCCACCCGAGTTCGTTATATTCACTTACGCGTAAATACCCTTGGGAAAAGGCATGGACCCACCTCTTTTCTATGGCTTAATTAAGACCTGTATCACTAAATCATTATTATCTAAAAAAAAAATTACAATCTAAAAATATTTTCTGGCTTTAAATAACCTGCAAGGGATTGGTAAGCTGTAGAAAACGAATCGATCAATCAAATTTAATGGGCACAATCGTTAACAAGTTTGTTTAGCTCTAGAGTGAGTTCAGTCTTTATTACGTGGTCTTGTACCAGACTATGTTCTCACAATAGTATAATGATTAACTAACTAATTTTAGATACCATTAATACACTAAATTCAGTTCTTATCTTGTGCCTCATAATGCATAGCTTTGTGTTCGACTAAGTTGAATAAATATATAGGATGAAAATATTAAAATACTTATATAGGATGAAATATTACTTATCGCCGATAGTACATTAACTCAAATATCTGGAAGTCCTTATGTTAGAATACCTGTAAATTTGCATATATTTAAAAATAGATTTGCATGTCATTTTTAAGTGGATTTTTAAAAAATCCGACTTTATAACTTATTACTTTAGGCTGGTTGTTATTAATTTCACTGTTTAAGAAAAAAACAAAAAACAAAAACAAAAAAAGAAGGATAGTAACTTAAACACGTATAACGACTAAAAATAACGTTTACTAGCAGCATGGCCCGGCGTTGCCCTTGCTTGATTCAAAAATGGTACGACTCATACAGCAATCGCTATATCTTGACTTAAAATATTTTTGCCCCTCCTTGCCTTTAAGCAGTGCCCTTTGCCGTGCTGATGTTGCTACATGCCTTACTTCTTGCCTATCTCACACTGCGAATTTTTTCTAAGCTCTATACTAAACATTAAGACTGTTAGAAAAAAGAACTAAACAAAATGAACACAAAACGATCAGCTTTAAAAAAGGACTTGTAACTGGAAAAACCGAATGAAAAAAGAATGTTAACAACAAATACTTTTTCACACCCAACCCAGTTCTGCGGAATCAGAATCAACGTTGAGTTTAAGCAAGTGAATGAGCCAATTGGAGTAAAGTGCCATGCACATTTAAATTTTTCCCACTTGTGACGTATGCAGCTATCGATTTTTTTGCATGCTAGCATGCTAGTTAACATTCGTGTCAGTCAGCTGTTGGCTCTCACGCTGGCCAATAGAATCTTCCTGCCTATTCGTGGCAGCCAGCTATTGGCTCTCACTCTGGCCAGTAGAAAATGAAAACTGCGGTAGAAGCATGAAAAAATCGATTATTTCCACTATCGATAGGAGTTGGGAAATGCAAAGTCGGTATTGGCCTTTCCACTAACTTGGAGCATGTGCATGTAACTTTTGGTGCAAATCCGTCGAAAATTGCGGCCGTGCATTCGTTACATGCACACAAACATCCTGCCTTTTATAGATAGAGATAGTGATAAAAAATTTGCATGTCTGTAAGTTTCATTTATGCAAATTTGTGTATATACGTATATATAGATTTACATAAATGCAAATTTGTAAATTTGTACATATATAAAAATCGATGATTAATGTATTATAACATCATCACTTCTGTGTAATTTGTTTTATCTTCACTGGGCGCCACACAATTGTTGTTCCTGTGCCAAACTATTTCGAATATTTGAAATAGCTAGATGTAACTGTAAGTTCCATTATAATAGTTTCTTTTCTCGCACTTCTCGTCTGTGGAACTCTCTTCCGGTTTCTTTCTCGTCGCCTACGATCTTCACAAATTTAAATGTAGCATCAATTGCTATCTTCTTGAATTCTATTCTTTTATAGTATTTTCTTCTCACTAAAGTTTTATCTCTTTTTTTCACTCACAGTAACCCCCTTGCGTCTTAGTGGCATTAACACCTTGCTTCCAGTGAAATGATTAAAAAAAATCTAACTCTGAAGTCAACCCCAGAAGCAATCTAGTAGATCATTACTACTGTGTAGAGGTGCTCCAGAAATGTCATTTTAAGCCAAGCTTACTATACAAGAGCATTGCCTTTCTGTGGAGTAGGAATTCGTAACTTAATCTAGTAGATTTTACTACCGTGTAGTAAGTTCGATTCTAACTGGGTGCTCGACATCTGTTGACCTTGTGACAGCTTGTGGTAGCTTAGGATATTCTGATTTATCAAAATCCTTTCGCTTAATTTTCAGTAAGTCAAACCCAGCTTACCCAGTTGTCTTAGTACTGTTGAGAAAACAATAGCCTAGTGTAACACTGTTGGGTTAAAACCTAAAATTAAAACTCATAAAATATACTAGGCTTAGCTGATCAGGTGACTGATAGAGCCAATCAGAAGTTTCCATTTAGTTTTTGTTTTTCGTCTAGGTAAAAAAAAATATGGAAGAATTGATTCAACGGCCTGGTGAGACTTGAAGAAAAGAAGTCCGTTCCCCACAGTGTTGGGGACAAGTAGTCAAGATTTTTGTATGTTAATATGGACTCAGGTATTAACCTGTAGGTGGTATTACATTTCCTTATTTTGTACACTGTTTTGTCGAGCTAAGAAGTTGTTTTTTTATATTATTACCAGTTTTACTAGCAATGCTTCATAATATTATTCTATCAATATTTTACTAATGTCCATATTTACGCGGCCACTCAATTAAAGACTATTCATCATTTTTTTTTAAATAACCACTATTTTTAGTCTTCGACGAATTCTTAAACGTCTTTACTTGTATTTCAAGGAAAATCTTTTTACTTTTTAACATCCATTGTTCGATTATGGCGAGTATTTTCTTTCATCTTAATTTCAGTTGTTCTTTTTTTTATCGCAACAGCCCTACACGCAAGCCGCTAGTAAGCCGCTGGCGGGCCGTCGCTGGCAGTGTCAGCGGTCCTCTGGTGACAGCCAACGGTGGACCACTAGCGGTCCGCAAGTAATAACATTGCTGAGACGAATACGCCGGCGGTCCGAGAGCGGGCCATCAGCGGTAAACGCTAGTGGCATTCCATCCAGTGGCAGATTGGTGGCTTCTGTGTAGTGAACTCAAATATTCTTTCGAGGGCCTTGCAGATCTCTTTCACTTCGGGAAGAATGTCTACGATTTATTACTGACTGAATACAGTAATTGTGGCACAAAGCCGAAAAAAGAGGGGATATGAGTCAAGGCTGGTCGACACTAACTATATTATACCTAGCTAATCAGATTCATTCGTTACAATTTACTCATTCACCATAAGAATCTATCCGTTACCATTCGTTCCTACATACACCAAAATACCTCACACACACCGGGCACCTACTAAAAAAAAAAAAAAAAAAAAAAAAAAAAAACACCCAATGAGGCAAAAAAATAAAAAAATATATACAATTGTGTATACAAATATATATATAAACCTTCTATGAACGTTATGAAATGATGGGGGCGGGGGTGATGACCCCGAAAGCAAACTGAAAAAAGAAAGATGTTAGTAAGACCCCCCGACAAAATTAGTTGTCGTCTTCCGACAAAATCAAAAGGCTCTCTCTCTCTCTAAGGGAGGAGGAAAGATAAAAAAAATATAGGCATTAGAAAATTAAAAAAAAAAAAATGACCCAGTCGAGATGAAAAGGGCAGGCCAAAACAAAGAGGGGAAGTTGGGAATCTAAGACTGTCTTGATTCAACTAGGCAAGATTTTCTGATGGCAAAAGATCAAAAGATAAGCTTATATTTTGTTTTCTCATCGATCTCTCGGTGACTTCATATTTGATGCCATTATCTTCTTGAGATTTAGTGTAAATAAAATACAATTTTGGAACGAGGTCTAAAAGGGGGAATGGGTTGAGGCTGGTCGTCACTTACTATCTTATACCTAGTTAATCCGATTCACGACCCATTCACTCGTTAGAAATTGCACATTCACCACAAGAACTCATCCACCCTCATACAATCCACCATATACCATAATATCACATACAATCAGCGAACTTACAAAACTGTTATACCTCAACGTACCTATTCTATTATTAATAGACTCTCCCACACATAATAAGTAGTAGTAGTAGTAGTAGCGGTCGCTAGTTGAGCTCAGTGGAGTTGAGCGAGTCAGTCGATGTCGGACATTGAAGTATCAACCATCACAACTAGATTGCTGCTTCATTAACTCTTATTTCAAGTTCCTAACGTTTTGTACGTCGGACCCTTTTTAGGACCGACTTAGCGAAATACAAGCCTCCACTTTGAAAACTACTCTACAACACATTGGCGACCGAGGATTCGAAACTCATAAAACAAACAAACTAAAATATCAAAACAAATACACAAAATAAAGATAACTGATGTTAGTTGGACCTGTCAAACTCTCAAAAAATTTAAGAGAGGAAACTGTATTCTGTGTTTAGACAAAAATCTAGAGGCTCTCTCGCTAAGGCAGAGGTAAGGGTAAAATAAATGCAATCATGAGGAAAGAAAAAAGGTGACCCAGTCAAGATGAAAAAAGGGCCAAAAACAAACTGGTTGGGAATTAGGGTTAGGGTTTAATGTCAATTTAAAAA